TCACACTCAGTTGATAATTCCTTCTCTGCTGGAGGCAAATGGCCTTTTTTACATGTACCAGGTTGATCGCGGATGTTTTACGGATCTAGAGAGCTCGTCGCCGTATATAATCAGTTTATGCGTAAAAAATTCGGGATTGGGAAAGGTGTAAAGTTCTTCGTCATGCGCCAACGTACGAATGCACTTCACAAAAGTCCACGGAAAATTTGAATTGAATTCGCTCTCGGTAATTTGGATGTTGCTCACCTGCGGATTTATTATTACCTTATGATTCAGTAGGCTTTCAACCAAAGTGCCATCACACTTTATCTCGATCTCAGTTGAAATGTTCATACAGTAGGTATAAACAGCTGGATCGGCTGGGCAGTCAACTTTTTTCACATAGTGAAACTGTCTCGAGTAAACCTCACGCAGACGTAAGCTTCCATAAAAACAGTCTCCTTTTCTTAAAAGCTTTCCAGTTTGCTTAAAAAAGGGTCCTTCGACGGGTATTACTCCAAACTCCAAATTCCATGCTTTGGTCCCGCGTCCGTCGACTTCAACGCTAAGCATGAGCAGAGGAAATAATCCAATCAGCCAACGATGACGATATATCACGTCCCTTACGGAACCTCTATTAGGCCTAATTTCTAGAACTTCTCGTCAATCATAACAATAACATTCAAATACTGGGCCTTTACCAGTAATACTGTGATTGCTCAAGGGAAGACCACGTAAAACTTCACCTTTGATATCCAGTGGCGGTTCATTTTCAGTCGAAGAAGTAGCAACGGCGCTTATGGCATGTTCTTCTGGATTTTTATCCATGAATAATCGTACAGCTTGCTCCACTTAAAGGCACGGTCCGCGATCAGGTATCGAAGTTGAAAATATAGCATCAGGAGGTTAGAGTGGTCCGCGACGAACAACCTTGTACCGGTTTCGCGGCAAAAAATTCTAAGGGAGGGGCGCTATAGCGCAATATAGGTTCAGTGGTTCCTCCTTTTTTCCAGTGACTCCGCCTCCAGACTCCGCCTCCAATGCCCGGCTTTCAGTGAAAAACGAGATTGCAGGACGAAAAAGCATGAAAATCGTCACTTGTACGATCGTAGAGTTCTTATCGGTGAATCAGTGTGCGTATGAGGGCGTAGTGTGGGAGATAGAGTTAATTGGGCACGTACAAACTGGGATCAAAATGGGGTTCTATCTAGGGCAGGTGGCATGTTTTTTGTGCTTTTTTTTCTTCACTGTCGAGTTACTCAACCCCTTGTCGTCTATATGGAACCCCCTAATCCACTATCTGAGATGGCGAATAATCGCGGGTTCTGCCTTTAAGCACAAGCCTCACACGCTTCGGAAAAATTCCCAAGTTCGCTTGTTTATAGGGCGCATCCGTCTATGAGGCACACTTCTGTCGTGACTACCACTAATGCGAATGCCTCGCGCTCGTGCTACTAGGTTTAAACCTCAGGTGCCAAGCTTTGTACGCGTCTTCCTTCGCCGTGAGACATTCTAGTTTCAGAACCAGGCACGTCGGTCCGATGCACGTTCAAATTCCTTCCTTACAGGCAACAGTGCCGGCAGGTACACGGATTTCAGTTCCACCCATCTTCATCGACAAAGTGGTCCTTGACAGTTTGGTCCCAGTGTAAGGCAATTCTGTCCACTCATAAGGCTTTTCTGAATGACGTCGGTTGCTTGAAGTTAAGTATGAGGTTGGCCGGTCATCTGATGATCGGCATGAGTGGACGATGTTGACTATTGACCGTTACCGATAGGATCACCTTGCAGTATAGCATGTTGCTCCTTTGTGCTCCTCCGTCAAAATGTGGTCGGTCCAAGTCTTACGTCCCCCACTACACGCTCTTCACTGAGGTGAGGGGATTCTGCTTGGCGCCTGATTGTGTCCATTGAAGAGATAGACCCAATGAGTGTACAGGTCTTCGTCAGAAATGGATGCGTGGATGCCTCTATCGGACGAGACATGTACATATGACTCCTATTGACTGGACAGGACAGAACCCCCTGCTGTCTTCTGATCATAGGTCGACGGTCACAATGACGCGAGGCCGATAACGTTTTCGTTCCTATATTTCACGAACCTAGGCCCGGCGGCAACAATGAAGCGCGGATCGTGTGGCAGATGTCAGGCGAGACTCTGAATATGGTAGTGTAGCCTCCCTCTGCACTGCCTTAGGAACTTCAGCCGGACGACCAGCGGGCACAGAGCGATGTTTGTGGGCCGTTTGCTGCAGCGCGGTAGCTCGACGAGGAAGAAACAAAGGTGAAAGGAATAACGGCGATTCGAAAAGACTAAACTAGCTGGAACGCTGCCGATGAGGAATAAACAACTCAGTGACACAGAGGGAGAAGAGAGGTAATGGATGGTGAAAGGTTAGCAGCACCGTGACTGAAAGAATGCTTTTTTGGAGAGGATTTCTTGAAAAAATAAGGGCATCAATAAGGGGGCATGAATATGAATAAAACAGTGTGTAGGCACATCTCAGTAAGAATCAGGTCCAAGTCTTCCGTGCATATATAAAATAGGTACAGATATTCAGCAGAAGTTAACACCGAGGCTGCGTTAATACTTTTGCACGCGCTCCACCGAGAGCCACAAAACGTCTTACCAGCATGCCGCCGGGAAACACATGGCATGATTCTATCTGGTCGCAAGACAGGTCACGGACAGCAGTCGACACCACGTCGCGTCGCGGCGTCGTCGCGCGGCACTCGGCGCAGCAATCGCCCCGGCGTTGCATTAACCTGTGCTGCCCCGAGTTGTCACTGGAGCAAGGGATTAGCGTTGTTTCAAAGGTAACCTCAAGAGTAAGAGTAATAGTCAATAATCATAACAGGAAAGGAAATAGGATAGGAAAGACATAATAGGAAAAAAAGATAACCAAAATAGGATGACTCTTTCAAATTGTTAAAGGGATCGTCAACCCTTTAACAATTTGAACGCCGCGCAACAGAACTCGTTCGCGGTGGCCGCCACGCCGCCGGCTCCGCCCACCGGCGCGACGACCCACTTATCGTCGACGATAGAATCGCCGCACAACGCCGCATACCGCCACCGGTTAGCGGAAGTGAACGAGTACACAGGAATTAGAACGGTTCCAAATGCCAGTGGCGATTTGAGGAAACTTGAAGGGATGGCAGACAGCTGTATCAACCAATCAGGCGTCGTGAAATTGTGGCAAGTGCAATCGCCCCGTATGACTACTAAAGCCCAGAATAAGCAATGTGATGTACGGTATGTAGTGATAGTGCGGCTGCACACGCCGCAATTTCACCACGCGTAATCCAGTCGTCTGCTGCCCTCCCATTCGCGCACGCTCGCCCTCCTGACGCTGGTGACGCTACTAGGCACTATGAACGGTGGTGGACATCGCAGCAAAGAAGGAACGCAGCTCAAAGGACTCACCATGTAAAGGGCAATAGTGTGCTTCAGCGGTGCCGGTGAAAAATAGTATAATATATGGATGGAGTGATATGGAGTTGATATGGAGTTTTGATGTGATAAGCGCCTTTGTCAGTAATAAAGCTTATAGATGCAAAGTTGGAAGTTTCTCCTATGGAGCTGAAGTGGGAATTTGAAGAAGGTCAACAGGTATTCAAAGTTACCAACAACACAAAAGTCCGTTTTGCGATCAAGGTCAGATGCACAGACAACCCAGCGGCGCGACGAATTATTACAGGATTTAGTTTTCGGAAGTTGGATGCAGTAGCAAACATAAAAGAACTTTCTTTCAGTGGTCGCAACGGCGGTAAACCAATTTTTGTTGATTACCGGCGGTCCTAACTATTGCTCTGTGGTGCGATCTAAAGGACCATTGAAAAAGGACAAATTAGTACTTTGCTCCAAACAGGTAGTATCTCTCGGACTTACACAGCTGCTTTGCTTCTCAAAAGAATCTCAGTGCCAATCAGGGCGGCTGCCACGAACAAAGAATCTGCCATCAGGTGTCGGCTGACGACAAAGATGCTGCGGAAGTTTTCAAAACAGGAGTTCCAAATGTTGATGTTATCAAGATGGATCAGCGCATCAGAGTTTAATATTATTTAATGAAGGATCTTCCTATATCCCGCTCAATATGTCTATCTGCCACGAAATTCGTCGGTCGCAGTGACAAAGGGACGTCGCTGCAAAAAAAAGAGTTAAAAAAAGGCGGTGAGACGCGAATGCTTCTGGTGGGTGATGGGTAGTGATAACAACTGAGAAGACCTGACAAGGAGGCGTTGGAGGGAAAAGGACACCGTTCAAATTTACAGAATCAAGACTCATTGCGGATGTATGTCGTTTGGCGCGATCTCTTTACTTACGACATGTCAGAACATGTCAGGCAAATCGTCTTCCATGTAACCATCCGTCTTGTGCAACTCGTGCAAAATTCTGAACTAGTGCGATTCCCTAAGAGATTATAAGGGGACAACGTGATTGAGAGGCATGAGCACCCACGTTAACACTCACGGCCTGATGTAGGTTAGGAAAAACAGAAACCATATAATTCAGTGGTTTGGACGAGTTACCCAGCTTGATGGACACGCGTAATTACCTGTCAGACCTCGTTAAGGCCTATGAGATCGCGCCAAATGACCGCCTCCCCTCATTGCTGGCCGTTGCGTGCGGCGCACCGTGCGTGGTAGTGAGCGCGGAAAAATCTCAATATGGGCGTCACGCGATGGGCGCGTATTTTTTCTCCAAATTTAGGCCGGGAGACGAGAAGGGGATCGTGACTTGCCGCTCCGCCGCGCGCGGCGATGAGCGCGGTTTTTCGTCCGCGGTTCGTGACGGTTTGTGTTAACCTGTCAACTGCAGCACCGGACATTCATGTAGACCCCGTCATCGTAGACATTCATGACTATTTTCGGTTCTGAATTGCCTGTTGTCGCCATCTACTACCTGGAACCATCGTCATTTGCGGGCGCGACGTCGCACACCAGCGCGGTGAATTACGATTCTCTTGTCACATACCCTTTTAGGCCCCTGTTTCACGTGTCTTTAGTTATTCCCTGCACCGTCTATTGCTGTCATGGCTCACAATATGGAGCATCGAAACACTTAAATATCTTCAGTAGTTACACCTCCTTGACCTTAATGGTCCACGGACAGCTTGACCTAACCCCTTTGAATGCGTCGATCTTCTGTTTTTCTCTGCACTCTGTCGTCTGAATAGCATTCTATGGTCAGCGTGACCTCAGACAATCCAGCTCTTTGCAATGGTAAGCGTTTGACCAACCTCGGTGTCCCTTCCTTCACAAAAGCCCATTTCCTGGCTCGCCAAATGTTTCTCGAACGTTTTAATGCTTTGGAAAGTGCAACCTCCTATCTATCTATCTGCGTCTCATGGTTTCGCAACA